TCCGTTACACCTAAACCAGAGCAGACCGGAAAGCCACGAATTTTCGTCATCTCTTCCGTCTCGTTTTACAACCAAATTTGATCACGCTGAAATCAAGTTTTTTTACGGAGTTTAGTTTTTAACAAATCTAAAGTTTACGAAAAGGTGTAGAATTTATCCCTTAAAGAATCATTAGAACACCAAGAGATAAAAAAACATGGATAAAAGTCTTCAAAGTGTACTGATGTTCATTTAAATGTTTTTTTTGGAAAGTTGGTGAAACTGGGATATAGCACTATAACGTCGAAGTCCAGCGTCGAAACATTTTTACGGTTTCTTCATTGCTCACATGGGATTGCTAAGAAATATAGTTGTTTCTCAGAGTCGAAAATCAGACTGTATGCACATCACACTACTAACATGAAACTTTCGTACGAAGTGTTTTTTTTACCATTCATCACTTCAGAAGTTAATATTTTCTGTCTTAGAGGTTATAGCCTTATAATGATGATTTATTCTCATCACATCATACAGTTGAAAGATGAATTCGTAAATTATTGGAATTAATTTTATCCTCAATTTTTTAAATAGTTAACTTATAGCTCTATAACACTGTTATCCATGTGGAAGGTTTTTGTATCAATAAATTAATTAAACGATGAGCACGAGAAAAGAGAGACGGTTAACGGAGACCTCAATTTTTAGACCACTTGTTTGGTCATTTATAACAAAACCCAAGGGTCATTTTAACCAAACTTGCAATCAATTCATAGAGTGGAGATCATACTAAGTTACTGACCACTTACAAAAATAAAATTGAAAAAAAAACTTTAAAAAGCTATAAAACAGCAAGGCAAAAGTGTGTTTTCATGCAAAATTCACCCATTCCAGTTTTCAGGATTTTCTGGATTTTCTGGATTTTTCAGGGCTAGCTAAAACAGTCAACTCCAAGACCCCAACAAACACCAAACTTGGCACACACAGACCTTGACCAAAAATAAAATAGGGCAAAAAAAAAAAAACAGAAAAAAAAAAAATTCTTCAATACACTTTTCAGGGTTGAGGGGGTTAACCAGGGCTGAAAAGTGGGGGTCCCTATTAACCATTTTATGCGAGAAAAATGTAGAAATTCCTGAAAGTCGGAAATCAAACGAGGTGCAAATCACATTTATAGGATGCTACTTTCATGTAATATGTTTTTTTTTCACCATTTATCGTTTATGGATTTAATATTCTCTGTATTAGACGTTAGAGCCCTACAGTGTTCTCCCGAATACAACGTACGGTCATTATAGATGTATTTGGGGTGTCTTTCAGACTAAATAAAACTCTAATGACTTCGCATTGTATTCGGGAAAAAATTGCAGTAACATGCTCACATTTCATTAGTGTCGAAGACAGATTGGAGTGACTACCAAGTGTCGGGAAACACTCACAAATATAAAGTGGACTAGTAAGTACAAGGCGGGTAGTGTGATTACTAAGTGACGGGAAACACTGCTAAGTGCCACCACCAAGAACGACCTCTGCCACCACCAAGAACGACCAATGCCACCTACTATTTCTCGCCCACGCTCCAACCTCTGCGCCAACCTTTTGGCCTACCGGTCTGTGCCCCGACCCCGACCGCGCACCTTGTCGACGCCCCAAAAACCCCGTTAGAGGTACGGTACAGGTGGGTTTGGATGGGTGCATTCAATTGTGGGTAGACACGGATGGGTAGGAGTGAAAAACAAAAATTGGTTGGGTACGGTACAAGTGGTTAACAAAAGGTTTGGGTGTAGGTGGTCATGGGTGGTTTTGAAACAGAAAGTTCAAGGGCAGTTATGGGCAGTTATGGACAGTTACAGTCTGAAGGGGTCCAGGTAGGGCAGGTATGGGTATAATGTTTTTTTTTTTTAGCAGGTAAGGATGAGTAAAGGTCCGGTAGGCTGTTTATACAGTGGGTATGGGTGGTTAGTTTTCAAAGAGGGCATGTGTAGGTAAGCTACAGGCATGCAAACAAATCCCAATTGCCACCCTTCGGTCACGTCTGTTCAGCAGAGACTCTGAGTCAAAGGTCGCAGGCCCAGAGGTCAAGTCTTGAGTCAGTCGACAAGTCCAAAAGGCAGGACCGAAAGGCCGCAAAGCAGTAGGTGTCAAGTTGTCGAGCGCATCGGCCCCCACACAAGTGAGGGCCCTCCCGGCCGCGTCACGCAGGAGAAACTTAGGCTTTCAACCTTTTAGAGACAACTCGGGGACGACACGGTAACCCACGTCAACCCCGAGTTGTCTCTAAAAGGTTGAAAGTCTAAGTTTCTCATGCGTGACGCAGCCGGGAGAGCCCTCGCTCGAGCGGGGGCCGATGCGCTCGACAGGTGGCGTCGTTGTGGGGGATAACGACAAACTGTCGTTGTCCCTGGTGGAACGACACTCGGGTAATATAATTTTCATCAATGGATATTAAGTAAGTAATTTTAAACAATTTTATCATAGTGTAGAAATTACGTATATATATTACCGGATATGAATGTAATATTTCTATGATTTATCGAGTCATTTCATTATGTAGATCTTATGAATTTTAAGGTATTAGAATATTAAGAATATGGGCTTTGAAGACGTTTTGATTATTGATAAAATTTTGTGTCTCTTGCGGGCGAAAACGATGACGAAGGGAACATTCGACTATATATGTCCTCTCTTCAAAGGCATCAAGGTTGCCGAGTTCTTACAGGTTTTTTAGAACTTGGCATCATTGATGCTTTGGGAGGAACATCACAAGTTTCTTTTTATTCTGAACTTTGTCATCGAAGGGTTGAAATCGGACGTTGGACTTCTTGCACGGGCTTCGGGAACTTGGGATGAATTTGAAAGATTAATGATTGCCAAGTTTACAGAGTCACCCAAACAGAAGAATGATAAGGGAAAAAGGAAGCTAGTGCAAATAGGTGGCGAGGAGCAGAATGAGTCCGATCAATTGGAACGAACTCGTAAGCTTGCTAAGGCTACGAGGGTTGCGCGTAACTTACCTGAAGGGGGTCAAGAGACTTGTCGGAAAGATAATCGAGCCAGGTATATTAAATCAATGCAGGATATCCAGCTAGAGTATCGAGAAAACACTCTGACCTCTTCGAATGTGAGTTTAGAGACATGAGAGTGAGGTGAATGTTCCAATCAGAGGGCTAACATGAAAAAAAAACACAGGGCATTATAAGCCCCTGAGGTGCATATACTATGGTATGCGGGGTCATAGAATGAGATACTGCAGGCATCTCGACCGTGATATGGAAAAGAGCATTGTAAAAAAACGTGAGGACAAAATTTTTATAGACTGGAATAACATACTTGTTTTTCCAGCTATGAAAGAAGACAAATTTATCAGAGATATTCTTATTGATCGCATGTGGGCAAAATTGAACTCGTAAAGATCGTCTTAGACCCCGTACGGTCTTGCGAAGCTTATGATCTACGGTCAGACCTTTCAAGACTCATTTAACTTTGAGAATAGGTTCGATTCTACGAGTACTTGGGGTTATAGTTTGATTAATATTTGAGATTTTGAGGGAGGCCGGAATGTGAAAGATTGATCTTAATAAATCTTCATGGTACATTCTCGTTTATATGTTAATTACATTGTTTTCTTCGGATATAAATTTGGTCAAGTACTCACCTTGTCAAATTTGGTATGTTATGGGAAATATTAAAAACGTTTTCGTGGTATATCAACCATAAGTTGACTAAGGTTTTATTTTAGAACTTTGTAATTTCATCCGTTATTGTTAACTTATTTCGTAATGATTGAATCCTTGTGATGTTGTTAAATAATTATTACAGATTTTGACCTTGTATGAATTTTTTTGTATGAAGGGTGAATGAATATTGTTCAAGGGAAAGTATTTTGATATTTATCGTGAATCGTGTTCTTGTTTATTTCGTTGTAATGAGTGTTTTATTGTTATCATGTCTTGATGAAATTCTGATATGATTGTGAGACTCTGTATATTTGGTTATGAATGTGAGATTTTGTAAGTACAAATCTAAGGAGATGATGTGTACTTGGGTCATATGCATGCGTGTTATCCGTCAGACATATGATTCAATTATTTATCTTGCCTTATGACTTGGTTTTGTGTCAATTGTCATGCATTGAGGAATCATAGTGTTGTGAGCCCGGTATGCGGTAGTGAGGTCTGCGCCGAAACTTTGTTCTTGGTCCATAGTGGGATGTTGCAATCTCTCCTTTCAAGGGGGGTGACTACACTATCGTTAAAAGGGAGGAAGGTGTTTTAGATCTTGTTATGACGTTGCCTGTGGGGTAGGCGACTGTTGTTGGCATAAAGGGAGGAGTGACCACCCGACCTTTCGCCAAAAATTGTCATCTTGCCTTTGAAAGTAAGTCAATGTTTTGAAATATGGTAAGTAATGAAATATGCATGGAGTATTTCATAAAACAATATTCTGATGATTATGAAAGGGAAGAAAGATGAACGAAGAAAATGTCGCTCGTCACAAATGAGTGTGTAAGATATGGATTAATTCCAGATATATTGTGATTATGTGATATATTTGGTGAAATCTTATAAAGACTTCTATATTGCCTTATAGTAAGCGACGGGGACGTCGCTTAATGGGGGCGGGGAAGGTTGTCGGGACAAAAACCCCTGTGAGGGTTTATGCCCGAGTTTTTCAAGGTCAGACGCTGCCCGACTCTTTTCGTTGAGGAACATGATGAGATTGACGTTGCCAAAGTTTATTCAGACCAACCCTATAACTGAGAGACCTAAAGCTAGACGTCGTTGACGTATGACGTCGTTGACATGTGACGCCATTGACATTCGATCGAAACAGCAGGAGTCAGCGGTACAACTTGTCGTCCGCGGTTCCCGACAAGGCCGCAATGGTGAAAGGTCATGAAAAGACTAAAGCTAGACTTAGTCTACCTAAAATAATGTCGCGCGGCTTAGCAGCCGCGTGATTCAGGGCCTAAGTAGGCTAAAATAGGGGTGCGTCGGGTATAGAGCCGCGACGCATGGGGGAATAGGAAGAAGGGTTTTAATTCTAGGGCCGCGGGGGTTGACACTGAGCCAGGGGGTTGACATGCCGATGCCAAGGTCACACGGCCAACTGAGCATGCAGGGCCACAAGCAAGCGAGGCCTGCAGGGCCGCACGTAGGCTGGGCCTGCAAGGCTACGGGCAGGCAAAGCCTGCAAGGTCACGGTATGGGGAAACCTGACTGGGCAAGCTCTTCATATGGGAGAGTTGCTCCTATCACTGTCGTGATAGGAGCTAGCCAGTAGGTTACCGCACATGGCTCTTACCCGGCAGATATCGGGATCAAGCCTGACTGCAAGCATTCTACCGGGCTAGCTCCTTTTGGAGCAGCCAGTTGGGCCGGCACGGCTGATTTCGGTCGCGCGATCGACGAGATCGCCCGACTGAAATCAGCCGCGCGCGGATGGGTAGCATGACCCCTGCCTAAGGATGACACACATAAATCGAGAAATGGTCCAATTTTTTTTGGTTTTGTTTTTTCTGTGATCCCAGTCAGGATAGAGCTTGGATCCGTACCCCCATAGTTCGTGGGTGTACCACGACGTGACCGTTGGCATAAGCCAACGGCAGGGCAAAAAAAAAAAAAAAAAAAAAACCCTAGCTAACTAAAAACGAAACCGCCAGATCGGGGATACTGAAGTGGCAGGGCACATGCCCTGAAACGACAGTGTGCTGCCGGTTTCACGGGGCTCTACCCAAGGTAAGTTTTTTTTTTTTTAATTATTATTATTATTATTATTTTTTTATTAAAAATTATTTACATTCTTTCTTAGATTTTATCTTAGATTTTCCTTTTTGCCTTATGACTCCCTCTTTTCTGAAGAGCAGCGCCCGTTTGTCATAGGGAAACGGGTCGCAGTCTTTGGAAAAGAGCGCCCGAATTTGGCACTTCTATTGCACTAGATGCGGGCGTGTTAGGGCTAGAGATGAGAGAGAGAGAGAGAGAGAGAGAGAGAGAGAGAGAGAGAGAGAGAGAGAGAGAGAGAGAGAGGGGGGGGGGGGGGGAAGGAGAACCTTACCTGGCAGCGACCGAAGCGCAACGGTCAATAGGTAGGTCCCCCGCCCTCCGACTGGCCTGAAGGGACAACCCATCTATGGGCGAAACTGAATGAATGTGCCTCGTTGGGCGGCTACGTGCGGAGCGTTGTTACGAAGGATTCTTTGCACATGCCTCAGGGGGGTTCGTTTTTTTGTAGTTTTTTTGTTTTTGTTTCTTCTTGTTAATTTTAATTTTTTATATTTTTGTTTTTCTTGGTTCCCTTTCTAAATGACGTGGTCAAGAACAGTTGCGCCTGTTCGTGATTGGAAACGGGCAGTAGCTGTCAAACGACGGCCCGAACCTGGCACTGATAGTGCCCAGGTACGGGCACATTTTGAAGGAGTAGAGTTAGGAAAAAAGAAAAGAAGGAAAAAAGGGGAGGAGAAGAGATGGAAAAGAAAGAAGAGCATCGCGAATCTAATCGCGACGCAGGGCCAGATGCAAGGGTAGAAGCATCTGACCTCTGAGTTAACAGGAGACTGTTGAACTTCAACAGTCTGCTCTACTTGGCTCTATACAGCCATTTAGGGTTGCACCTGACTGGGGGTAGCGGCCAAATGCATTACCAAGGCCTGAAACTTGGTTCCTCTAGGGGAACATCAGGTTTTTTCAGCCCCTGATCTCTTCTGAGATCAAGGGACAGGCCTCACTCCGAGTTTTGGCTGGGGGCAAGCAGCTGCCCTCAGCCTCCAGCCAGCTATAAAACAACCAGCAGCCAGCCAGGTAACATTCATTTGTGGCTGGTGTTGCTGGCATTTCGCTTGGGTGAATGCTGGCTGCTGGAGGAGGAGCTGTTGGTGGAGTGAGAGAGAGTTGAGTGGAGGTCTGCAAGTAAGGGAGGAGGATTGCTAGAGGTGGTCATAGTTGTGAAACACAGTCATAGCTGCCATCTCAGCGAGGTGAGGAGAGGAGAGGCTACCATAGCCACCATGCTGCGGGGTGCCAGCAGAAGGTGCTGCTGCTCGTGGCAGATTTTTCGGCAAGCGGTGCATGGGAAATTATGCCCGTTTTGCACGACGGCGGCAAGTTTTCGGCAAGTGGTGCAGAGGAAACTCTGCCCGTTTTGCACGGCGGCGGCAAGTCTTCAACAAGCGGTGCAGGGGAGACTCTGCCTGTTTGGCACGGCAACGGCGACGCTTTTGACGGTGATGCGGAAGCGCTGCCGTTTTTTTTGCGACGGCGGCAATGCGTTCTAGGTAGTGACGTGGAAGCGATGCCAAAATTTTGCGGCGACGACGCGGGTTTGACGACGGTGGTGCGGAAGCGCTGCCGAATTTTTATGGCAACGACAATGGGTTTAGTGTTACTGGTGAGGAAGTGCTTCCGATTTTTCACCGCCGAGGCGACAATATTCTTGCACTGACTATATAGAGCAGTGACTGGGTATTAGCACGGGGAAGGTACCGCAAAGTGGTGGTGCGCTTGGAAGTGGTGTGAGTGCGACGCCGTAGTGATACAGTGAAATTGGGGTGAGTGACGGCAGCGTGAAGGTCTACTAGATTACTGGGAGGTGGTTGTGTGTTGAGTGGGTGTCGCGGCAAGCAAGCGCTCTTGGGAGTAGTGTGGATCGCTTTGCGGGCGACTTGTTATGACGATTGTCTTTCCTGAAGTGTGATTTTACACGGTCTTCTTGAGTGGGCCGTCTCCTCAACTTCACTCAAGGTCAGTCAGTTTGACTCAGACCCCTTCACACCTGTGTGAACCCTCACTTTGCTTGACCCTGTTCCTTGAATGTTCACTGAAAAGGTAGAGAAAAGGTGTGTTTGCGCACGTGAATAAAAGTCTGACATGAGTTTGGGATTGCATTGTCTTCTTTTGAAATTGTTGTTTGATCTCATGTTCAGGTAGGTAGAAGGATGCCTGAAACAAAAGAACCTGACCATGTCAATGACAATGAGAGAATGATGTTTGTTTCCTGTTGCTCACTTTTATGTATGCTGAAGGAATGCGAAGTCAGTAGTCGACATGAAACGAAACGATCACACAAAAAAGAAGAAATGAGTTGGACATAGATTTTTCTTGAAGACACCCGTTCTTTCCCGAATGACCCTCTCCGCCTATGCCCATCTATCTGAATGGTTTTCTCTTATGTGATCCCTTTTCTTCGTCTAAGTTACCCTTGACGTCAGGCGACAAGGGACCATATTGCCTGACGTGATAGACGTGTTTCCCTTTCCTAGGAGGCATCTGAGGCGGGGGTTCGTTGCCTTAGGGGCCGGCCCGACTATCGACTCGGAGTGGACCGGTTATAAGGGCGATACTATGTTGTTGTGGTGGAGCCAGCCCGACTTCTGAGATCCGAGGTTCGCTCGGATGAGAACAAAGGGTATCCCGGAACACCTCATAGGGAAATGACATACGCCCATTCACGAAAGAGCCTTAAGATTCTTGACGCCTCGCGTTAAGGGGCGCTGCGATAACATAACCCTTAGTGGTTGTCTTAGGAGCCACTTGTGCATGGAGAACTGAGCCACAAGAAGCTCAATTCATGGTTACTAGTTGGAACAGAGCGCGGCTAGGCACTCTTGTCGTGGTTGGCCTTGCCACAAGAAGCGAGGACCAATAGGGTCGATTTGGCGAGCAAGGCTTGGATAGCTAGAGCTGGGAACGACCCTTCCCAACAAGGTCAATGAGGGCCAGAAGGACAAGGCAACCAATAAAATTTGAAAGCGGATCCTCGTCCTTAATGGACCATCCAGTGTTCGGTTGTTCAAGTCGAGTGTTGACTTGTATAGTGGCAGCCGGATCACTTGCAAATGACATTCACACCAAAGTTAGAAAGGTAGTGACGTCATCATTAAAGCAGTGGCATCCAACTCTACTTGAGAGTTGGGATGCCCATATTCCTTGCTAGAGGTCAGTGTGGTATGAAAGAACTTGGCAACGCATCTCATCAAATCGAAAAATTCGTGACAGTCCAGTCGTCTGGCAGGCAGAGTGGAGATACTTTAGTGAGACGCCATTTGAGCGTCGCCTGGTGTATTGGTCATGTTTTGATCTTTTATTGATAACTGTTGTTTGAAGTCAAGTCGACTTTGTCGATAACTTTTGAAGAAGGAAGTAGGATTGATTGAGATTTTCTCATGCTTGGAATATCATGTCCTACTCGACCGGCGTACGTTCTGATTCCTGGGAGATCAGCGCCCCAGGGACGGACGACGTTCGGGTCCACTTTGACGTTTAACCATGCTTTCCTATGCTACAGCGAACAAGCAAACGCCCTCGACCGGCCTACCTCTACAATTGCATTATAAAAGCCTTCGCATGTGGGTCCGTAGCTCGGTGGGGATACGCCGGGCCCCCTAAGGGTGGTGACAACCCCTTAGGGAAGGTAAGTTGTGCCCCGCAAGAACCTATCCTGTCGTAGGGGACCGCGGGATGTACAGCTGGCGCACTCGGCCGGAGCGGCGAAGGGTCGACGTGGGTTACCATGTCGTCCCCGAGTTGTCTCTGAAAGGTTGAAAGTCTAAGTTTCTCCTGCGTGACGCGGCCGGGAGGGCCCTCGCTCGTGCGGGGGCCGATGCGCTCGACAACGTTTGTTCACCTGAACAGACATGACCCCTACTGCTGTGGCCAATCGGGCTTGCCTGTCGGGACTGAGACTCAAGACTTGACCCCTGGAACTGAGACTAAGTCTTGAGTCAGTCCCAAAAGCCAGACCCGAAAGGCCACAAAGGTCAGGTCTTGGACTTCTAGTCTGACTCAAGACTTGACCTCTGAGGTCAAGTCTTGAGTCTCAGTCCCAAAAGGCAGGCCCGAAAGACCACTGTAGCAGGGGTCATGTCTGTTCAACAAAGTCGAAGGTCGCAGGCCCAGTTGGTCTTAGTCCCAGAGGTAACGTCGCAGGCGAGTTAGACCAGAAGTCCAAAAGGCAGACCCGAAAGGCCACAGCAGCAGGGGTCACGTCTGTTCACCTGCTGCTGTGGCCTTTCGGGTCTGCCTTTTGGACTTCTGGTCTGACTCGCCTGCAACGTTTATAAATTTATAATTTGCAAATTGCATAAAATAGAAATAGATAAAGAGGAGGAGGCTAACGCGACCTTTTTTTTTTTGTTTCTTCTGCGGAGGATAGATAAAGAAATAGATAATTATAATTATATCTATTACATATTTATATTGATTTGATTTATCTATTTCTATTTTTTGCAATTTGCAAATTATAAATTTATAAACGTCGCAGGTGAGTCAGACCTGAAGTCCAAAAGGCAGACCCGAAAGGCCACAACAGCAGGTGAACAGACGTGATCCCTGCTGCTGTGGCCTTTCAGGTCTGCCTTTTGAACTTCTGGTCTAACTTGCCTGCGACGTTACCTCTGGGACTGAGACCAACTGGGCCTGCGACCTTCGACTTTGTTCAACAGACATGACCCCTGCTACAGTGGCCTTTCGAGCCTGCCTTTTGGGACTGAGACTCAAGACTTGACCTCAGAGATAAAGTCTTGAGTCAGACCAGAAGTCCAATACCTGACCTTTGTGGCCTTTTGGGTCTGGCTTTTGGGACTGACTCAAGACTTAGTCTCAGTCCCAAAGGTCAAGTCTTGAGTCTCAGTCCCGACAGGCAGGCCCGATTGGCCACAACAGTAAGGGTCATGTCTGTTCAAGTGAACAAACGTTGTCGAGCGCATCGGCCCCCGCGAGAGCGAGGGCCCTCCCGGCCTCGTCACGCAGGAGAAACTTAGACTTTCAACCTCTTAGAAACAACTCGGGGATGACACGGTAACCCGCGTCGACCCTTCGCCGCTCCGACCGAGTGCGCCAGCTGTACATCCCGCGGTCCCCTACGACAGGATAGGTTCTCACGGGGCACAACTTATCTTCCCTAAGGGGTTGTCATCACCCTTAGGGGGCCCGACGTATCTCCACCGAGCTACCGACCCATATGCGAAGGCTTTTATAATGCAATTGTAGAGGTAGGCCGGTCGACCACCTTCTCCTGCTGCTGTGGCCTTTTGGGTCTGCCTTTTGGACTTCTGATCTGACTTGCCTGCGACGTTTACAAATTTATAATTTGCAAATTGCAAAAAATAGAAATAGGTAAATCAAATCAATATAAATATGTAATAGATATAATTAGAATGATCTATTTCTATGTAATAAATATAGAAATCCAAGAATTATATCTATTTATAAAAAATAGAAATAGATAGGAGGAGGAGGATAAAGAGGGGGAGGAGGAGGTGGAGGAGGAGGAGGAGGCGGCGAGGGTTGACGAGGTGGCGGAGGAGGATGGGGAGGAGGAGCGCGACCTTTTTTTTTTTGTTTCTTCTGGTCACCTTCCTCCCTCTCCTCGTCCTCTTCTTCCTCCACCTCCGTGTCGTCGACCACCTCCTCGTCCTCCTCCCCCTCCTCCTCCTCCTCTTTATCCTCTTCCTCCTCTGACGAACGCACGGCTGCCACGTCAGCACGTGCGGCTTACAAAAGTCCCGCGTGCTGACGTTGCAGCCGTGCCTTCGTCAGAGGAGGAAGAGGATAAAGAGGACGAGGAGGAGGGGGAGGAGGACGAGGAGGTGGTCGACGACACGGAGGTGGAGGAAGAAGAGGACGAGGAGAGGGAGGAAGGCGGGGAGGAGGAAGAAGACCACAAGGAGGTGGTGAGGGTCGATGAGGTGGCGGAGGAGGATTGGGAGGACGAGGAGGAGGAGGAGAAAGAGGAAGAAGACGAACAAGCCGAAGAAGTTCGAAGGAGGAGGAGGACGAGGAAGAGGAGGAGGAGGAGGTAGACGTGGAGGAGGAGGAAGACGAGGAGGAAGAAGCAGATGACGAGGAGGAGGAGGAGGTGGGGGAGGAGGTTGACGAGGTGGAGGAGGAGGAAGAAGATGAGGAGGAGGAAAAGGTGGAGGAGGTCGACGAGGTGGAGGAGGAAGAAGACGAGGAGGAGAAGGTGGAGGAGGTCGACGAGGTGGAGGAGGAGGGAGAAGATGAGGAGGATGAGGTGGAGGCCCTGGAGGGGGAGTAGAACGGGGAGGATATGGCGGGTTACGAGTCAGAGGACGAGGATGAAGAAGAAGAGGAGGAGGAGGAGGAGGAGGAGAAGAAGGAGGGGGAGGAGGAGGACGCGACGTGGTTTCTCACCTGGGAGGCGATGGAGACAACGACGACGGCGACGGCTCCCCGGGCGGGTGACTGGCGGGGTATGCGCGTTCGAATTCGAACGAGCGGGCCCAGGTTGGCCCCTCCCGCCACGCAGATGCTCCCAGCGCCCGCCCAACCCCGCCAACCAAACCCCCAAACCCCACAACGCCCCCTGGCTGCCCTACCGGGCCCGGTACCCCCCGACGACGGATGCGTTCGCCGGCCTCTGAAAGCTGTTGTGCGAACGTGTTCGCGCCACGATCGGGCGAACGACCGAACGTGTTCGCCGTGCTAAAATTACATAAATATGATATAATATTATAATTAGAATTACATATTTGTCAAAAATTTGAATGAATCATAGATTTTTAAGAATATTCTTTTTTTTAATATTCTTTATTTTAAATAGGTATATTTTTTATTATGAATCAATTGCCTTGGTTAAGTATCATATATTATTTCTCATCTTTGCAAGATTTGTTATTCCATTACTTCCTAGTAGCGAAAATCAAATTGTAAGATGATATTGTTAGGCTATTACATATCATATATTCATTAGGATATATATATTCATATATCGTCTATCGTATTATATCGTTTATAACGCCCATTGTCTAAAGCATAGGACATAGATCTTCCAAATCTCTAGCGTAGGTTCGAATCCTATTGAGCGTGATGAGAAAAAGGGTTCTTTCAAGTCATTTTTTTGTAAAAGGAGATTACTTTGACCTCTTTATTGACTCAAGGAAGAATATATATATACATATAAACAGAAAATAAATCTAAAATAGACAACAATGTAGATTTATTTTTTTTCAAATTGAAAAAGAAGAGATTGTTTAATTTATGTATTTTCAGTTGAGTTTATGCCCATAAACTCAAGTCTGCTGAACAGACGTGACCCCTGCTACTGTGGCCTTTCGGGCCTACCTTTTGGACTTCTGGTCTGACTCCAGACTTAGTCTTAGTCCCAGAGGTCAAGTCTTGAGTCAGACCAGAAGTCCAAAAGGCAGGTCTGAAAGGTCACAGCAGCAGGGGTCTTCAGGCCTGCCTTTTGGACTTCCGGTCTAACTCGTCTGCGACCTTTGCTTTTGGACTTCTAGTCTGACTCGCCCGCGACCTTAGACTATCTACTGAACAGACGTGACCCCTGCTGTTGTGGCCTTTCAGGCCTGCGTTTTGAACTTCTGGTCTGACTCAAGACTTAGTCTCAGTCCGAGAGGTCAAGTCTTCAGTCACACCAGAAGTCCTTATAATTCTTTCGAACCTTCCTTTGAAAGCACTTTCATTCAGTCATGAGTTGGAATGGGGCCAGAAATAACCTCTAGCAGGCCTTTCCCCGGAGTCTGGAATTCACTGTTGGCTTTACCCAACCTGAGGAATTACAAGAACATTTTAGAAGAATGATCCCAGCATCATCCCACTGGTGGCCACTCATCCTTCCTGTTGTGTCTCATAGATGGGTCAGGCTTATCCCCTGATGGGACTCTCTTCAGGCTATAACCCCCTGTCTAGGTCCTGTGAGGCTTAACCCCCTGCGGGTCTTTCATCATACAACACATACCGCCAGAAATTTAACATGGGTCTCCCACGAAACGCAAGGATACTAACACTATACTACAACATGCGCCGACACCATCCCAGAAAGAAATCACCCTACCAAAAGTCCTTGTCCAGTCTGACTAATTCTCACTCCAACTTCATTGTCATGCATGATTTATCTCCTAAGTAGTCCCAGTCACAGAGGTCCAGTCTTGAGTCAGACAAGAAGTCCAAAAGGCAGGCCAGATAGGCCACCGCAGCAGGGGTCACGTCCCTTCAACAGATAGTCAAAGGTTGCAGGCCCAGTTATTGTTTGTCCCGGAGGTCAAGTCTCGAGTTGGACCAGCAGTCCAAAAGGCAGACCCGAAAGGCTACAACAGTAGCAGACCATGGGAAGGTACTGGGACCACACTTCGCAGCAACAAGCAATGGGCATGTGGTCCAGGCTACCATGCGAAAGGTACTGTGACTACACTTCGCAGCAACAGGCAGTGGGCATCTGGTCCCCAACCACCATGGGAAAGGTACAAGGACTACACTTCGCAGCAATAGGCAGTGGGCATGCAGTCCCAGGCTACCATGGGAAAGGTACTCGGACTACACTTCACAGCAACATGCAGTGGGCATGTGGTTCCAGGCTGCCAGGCATATTTCGGTTGGGGCCAGGCCCAGGCAGACCAGTCGAGCATCATAAAAGACTGGCCAGCCTCCCATTCCGGCAGATGCTCATTCGCATGAGAGTGTGGAAGTGCTAGTGCACTTGTGCGCGCGAGAGAGAGAGAGTTGCGCTCTGCCAGAGATTTGAGGGAGTTGCGCTATGCCAGATATTTGAGGAAATTACGCATGTCACCTGTCTCTACTGCTGACGTCGCAATGGCCACGCTGTCTACATGAGGTGACTAGTTGCGACAAGGAGGAGGATCAGGATCTGTGGTAGAGTGAGGAATGGGTTACTTACCTAAGATTGACGTCGATACTGTTCCCTGTTGATTGTCTTCGTTGTCTCCATGGGAGAATAGTGCCACCGTGCCACGTGGCAGTTTTGTGTGATCCGGACTTGTCGGGCTCGTTACCGGGTCCTCTCTCTCTCTCTCTCTCTCTCTCTCTCTCTCTCTCTCTTTCTCTCTCTCTCTCCCC